TCAAGCAATTCTCCTGCCTCAGCCTCTGAGTAGCTGGGATTACAGGCATGAGCCACCACGCCCAGCTAATTTTTGTATTTTTAGTAGAGATGGGGTTTCACCATGTTGGTCAGGCTGGTCTCGAACTCCTGACCTCATGATCTGCCTGCCTCAGCCTCCCAAAGTGCTGGGATTACAGGCATGAGCTACCGCACCTGGCCTGGCAAGCTGCTTCTTGAGAAAGGATGAACAGTTCTCAGCAAAGAGGAGTCATCATTCTTCTGAACCACCATGAACATTCCAGAGAAGAGGTAGATAGAAAGCTAGATTCTGGAGGATGTGCTGCAGTGAGCTAGGCTCTCAGGCAGGTGGTGGTGCCCAGCAGAAATGGCAGTATGAGCCCAGGCTTCCCTGGTCCTAGGAGAATGTTTTAGACTAGACGTCTAGGAGAAAAGTCTGGGCACTGTCTTCACAGACCTGCATCAGGCTGGTCCTAGGTCTTCTGTTCCAGCTACATAGTGGACACCTCCCTCTGGGCTATAGCGCACAGGGCCACAGCGCAACTGGGGCTCTTCCTCCTCATACCAGCGCTGTTCACTGAAGTCAGGGAAGAAGGCTGCAATCTCTCTGCTGGCTGAAACCACAGAGTCTGTAAGGGGAGATAAGACAGAGAAGGGGTCCTCACATGGTAGAAGCAAGAGGCAATCATAATCAGGTTGAGAATCCTGAGCCTCTACTCTGCCTGCCCCTTCAGTCCTGGGGCATGTAAAGAAAGTCCACAGGCCACATCTGCCAACATGGCTACAAAGACCAGAAACACAAATGGAAGAAAGCTCATTGGAGGGACCTGGCTGTCAACTCTATCACACAGCCTGCCTGCTAACCCCAAAATATCCTATGGCTACGGACAGGGGACTCACCCGAACCATGGGTGGTGTTGCGGGTGTCGGTGAGGCCGAAACTCCCACGAATGGAATCTGGGGCCACATGGCGTGCTCGGAACACTCTGGTGGGTCCCATGAGCGTCCTCCAGAGCTGGATGGCATCCTTGTGGGCAAGGATGTAGGCTCGGATTGGCCCGCTGTGAACAAAACAAGCAAATGTGAGGAATCTGGCCATCTAGACTAAGAGGGTGTGCTGTGAGCAGGGCCTGAATAAACACACACTCTATAAGAGTTTTCCTGCCTTTCCAGCTGAGTACCAATGCTGCTTCAAATAGGAGATACAGAGCCCCTGCTGGTGTACATAGAGCCTGAAGAGATCAGCAGGGTGGTTATGGAGCATTCAACGCGACTTTCCTAAACCACCACAGGACAGGTGCCTAACAGGTCAGCATTGGCTCAGTGACAGCCCAGACCTATGTTTCTTCAGACTTGACATTGATTACAACTTTATTTTTTGAGATGGAATCTCACTCTGTTGCCCAGGCTGGAGTATGATGGGGCAATCTTGGCTCACTGCAACCTCTACTTCCCGAATTCAAGTGATTCTCCTGTCGCAGCCTCCCGAGTAGCTGGGATTACAGGCACCCACCACCATGCCTGGCTAATTTTTTTGTCTTTTTTGTTTTTTTTTTTGAGACAAAGTTTCACTCTTGTTGCCCAGGCTGGAGTGCAGTACCACGATCTTGGTTCACTTCAACCTCCGCCTCCCGGGTTCAAGCGATTCTCCTGCCTCAGCCTCCTGAGTAGCTGGGATTACAGGCGCCTGCCACCATGCTGGGCTAAGTTTTTGTACTTTTAGTAGAGATGGGGTTTCACCATGTTGGCCAGGCTGGTCTCAAACTCCTGACTTCAAGTGATCTACCTGCCTTGGCCTCCCAAAGTGCTGGGATTACAGGCATGAGCCACTGTGCCTGGCCTGATTACAACTTTAAAGAATGGCAGTGAAATGAACAAAGCCATTTAAGGGCAGGGGAGATTCACCTCAGTGGATAAAGATGCTGGAACCAAATTAGAAGTACCTGGCCATGAATTCCACCAGCCGCTGATAGAAAAAACGCCCTGCAAAGAGAGAGGACCTTCATCAAGATACCTTCATCCTGGTGCCCAAGGCAACTTTCTGTACTTCTACCTCCTTACCTAGAATAAAAATTGTTTTAGAGAAAAGAACAAGCACCTTGGAGTCTGACAAACCTGGGTCTGAATCTAAGGTCTGCCACTTACAACCTGCGTAGTTTTGGGTAAATCATTAACCTCCAAAACTTGGCTTCCTAATCTGTGTACGAGGAATGCAAGAACACCTACTTTTTAGAGTTGTTGGGAAAACTGAATGAAAAAATGAGCATGAGGACGATGTCTGACGGTGAACATTCATTCACTATATGTTAACTACTGACATCAGGACATAAAACTAAGTTTCTGGTTGGGACTACAAGGTAGAACCCTCCTTGGGAAAAAAAGATGGATAATCATGAAAAGTGTGTGTTTTAAACCAAGATTTTAGAAAACTGGCTGCAACTGTACACGGTTGGTAGGTCAGAGAGCCTGCCATTGTGTTCCAGGTAAAATCTCTCTTACGGGCCTCTTTGGATTGAGGCACCTTCCGTTCAGAGGACTACTGATCCTACCTTCATGCTCTCGGTAAAACCTCTGGCAGTCTTCCTTTCTCCACAGTAGTTCTCTCATTCGTACAATCAGGAACTTGTTGCTTAGAATCTGCTGATGAACAGCCTGAATAAAGACCACCCCCAAAATAAAAATCAATCAAGAGACTGAAACTGACCAAAAGAAACCATGAGGACCACTTGTTGCTCAGGACTTGAGGGTTTGTCCCATTGGAGGATGAGAAGATGAGGTGGGGTGAGGTCAAGACCTTCAGTCACACAGCTACAGTGTGCACCTTGGGTGAAAGGGGATAGGATGCAGTGTCTCTACTCTTCTATACGTGTAACCCCTTGAGCTCAAGACCACAGGACCCCCCACTTAGACCACCATAAAAGTCTTATTAGTGGTCCTGCCTTGAGTTTCTCTCACTCCCACCAAACCATCACACTTGATAGATGAGAAACTCTGTAATTTACATGTCACACTCTGGTCAGGTGTTAAGTAGTTCCTGTTATTCAAGGAATGAAGTGCAACCACTTTAGCCCAGTGCTCAAGGTTATACTTTCCTTGCTCTGTACCAATTCTCTAGTCTCACCAATCCAGGCTGCCTGCGGCCCTCAGACCCATCACATGCATTCTTTTCTCAGCATCTCCCTTCTGTGCAACACCTGTCCTTCTCCTGGCACTAACCAAAATTTACCATTCCTTTGAGGCCCAGTTGAGTCCTGCCACTTCCAGGCTCTCATTCCTGACTGCTTGGATCTTCCTCTGCACCATAGTGGGGTTACTTAGCAGTGCTACTCTGTTAGTATTTATTTATTTATTTATTTTTTTTTTTTGAGATGGAGTCTCGCTCTGTCACCCGGGCTGGAGTGCAGTGGCCGGATCTCAGCTCACTGCAAGCTCCGCCTCCCGGGTTCACGCCATTCTCCTGCCTCAGGCTCCCGAGTAGCTGGGACTACAGGCGCCGCACCTCGCCGGCTAGCTTTTTTTGTATTTTTAGTAGAGACGGGGTTTCACCGTGTTAGCAGGATGGTCTCGATCTCCTGACCTTGTGATCCGCCCGTCTCAGCCTCCCAAAGTGCTGGGATTACAGGCTTGAGCCACCGCACCCGGCTTTCTGTTAGTATTTATTAAACTGTGGTATGCAGAATGTGAAAATGACCCCAAGCCCCACCAAGATTTCCCACCCGAATCTCCAGGACTGTGAATATGATGCAATATGATTATGTTACATTACATAACAATAGGGATTTTAGAGGTATAATTAAGTTACTCATCAGTTGATTCTGCTGTAATCAAAAGGGAGATTATCCAGGTGGGCCTAATCACGTGAGCCCTGTGGGATTAGAATTGTGAAGGCTTCTCAATGCCAGGCATTTTCTCTGGCTAGAGGCTGAGGAAGTCAGATTCAAAGCATGCGAAGGATTCGATGCACTGTAGCTGTCTTGAAGATAGAGTGGGCCATGTGATGAGGGATGTGAGTGGTCTCTAGAAACTGAAAGGAGTTCCTGCCTGAAGGCCAACAGAGAAATGGCAGCCTCAGTCCTTCCATCATAAGAAATCAACTCTGCCAACAACCTGAATGAGTTTGGAAGTGAATTCTTCCCCCAGACCCTCCAGATAAGGGCCTGGTCAGCCAATACCTTGACTTTGGCCTTTTGAGACGTTAAGCAAACAACTCAGCCAAGTCTATGGACCTCTAAACTATTGAACTGTGAAGTAACAAATGAGTGTTGTTTTAAGCTCTCAAGTCTGGAGTCATGTGTTATGTAGCAATAGAAACGAACACATATACATTGTCTTGAGATTGGGTTCTATTATTGCTTTGGGTCCTTTCTTATATTTTAGATCTGCCTCAAGTCTCCAATAGATACTTAGCCTCCGCAGGTCAGAGTTCACGGCTTCTAGCTTTGCCTCCACAGCATCCAGCACAAGTCTGTGTTGTCAGTCACCATAAGTGGCCTGATGGCACCTGAAGCAGTGGCAATTCCCAGGGCATGTGGTAGAGGCTTAGGATTCATTCTTACCTCCAGAATCAGCGGATGGGCGACTGCATCAGGCTTGATCAGGGCTAGAGTGAGCTGGAGAGCCTGAGGGCTTCGCAAGATTGAGGCCATCTCACTCCTGCCATTAGAAAGCTATATTAGGAACCCTTCAGGACTGCACTCCCAGCCTTCCCTACATTGAAGCCATGTAGCCTTGCAAGCCAACGAGTACTCTCACTCCTGACACTCATAAAGAACCTGACAGTTTCATCTTAAGGCCATATACATTATTTTATTTAATTGCCCATTTGGGGTCATGGGATCAAGGGAGGGGAGTGGTAGAGGGAGCATTCAAGTTTCCCCGTGGAGTATACAATCTGGTGCAACTGTAAGCCTATGAAGGAATTACCCATTCAAAAGAAACTCAAGTTTAAATACTACCTGTCTCTGCCAATATCCCTTCCTAACTTCCTTTTGTATTTTACAGAGGATTTGCAACTTATACTCCTCAACAGCCTATCCACAAGGGTATAATCTCTTAAAATGTTCCATCCCATAGTGCTCTCCTATCAAATCTAGAATTGGAATATTGATGGACAGGAACTGAGGTGCTGCCAGGATACCAAAAAGTCTGCTGGATAAACACCATCTCTATTCTAATATTATGGAGAGATCAGGATCTCCTGTGCCCAAATCAAACCTGTTAATACACTCAGCTGTCCTCAGTGGCAAGACCTGTCAACACGCAACTCCAATGTCAGGAACAAGTCATAACCATTTTGCATTTGAAACAGTGCCTGGCACAAAGGTGCTTGATCAATTTTATTTACTAAATAAACCTATATAGTCTTATTTCTATTCATCTTTGTATTCCTAGCGTCTAGCATGGTGTAAGAGCTCAACATTGTAGAAATGATATAATGGACATAAAAGCATTTTATAATCTGGACTAACGGGAATTTTGAGGTCTTTTCCAACTGTGAAATCCGAGTTATATGTGAGAAACTGATCACCTCTGGAGGAGTAAAGACTTTGTCTCAAAATCTTATCTCAATATTATCTCTCATTTGGCCATGTGTAGTGGCTCACACTTGTAATATCAGTACTTGAGGCCAGGAGTTTGACCTGGGCAATAAAGCAAGACCCTGACTCTACTATATATGTGTATGTGTGTGTGTGTGTATAAAATCTCTCATTTGTCAACAAAGACAGAGAAGTCTTCCATGAACACAGGCAGGGACAAAGTCTAAACAACATTCTCATTTATTTTATCCTAAAGCCTGTCAATCATGTTAAAGGTGGTATTAGAATTTGGCTCAAGCAATTATGTCACGGTCTCTTCTATTCATGTCCTTTCTACAGCTTTCAACCTGATTTTCCACTCAAACCATAAAGCCACGCCCAATCTAACCAGCACAAGATCAGCCAACCCACTCTCCCTAATGCCACAGGTGGTAACATGTCATTTTCAGCAGTTGTCTACAGAAACATCCCCTCCCTCACTCTTCATATCCACACAATCACTAACTTCGGGCAATTTTCCCTACCTAATATATCTCAAAACCCATACCATTCTCCAACCCTCAACTACTATCACCATAACTCTAAGACATCATCATTCCTCTCTGGACATCTTGACAGCCTCCTCTTTGGTCTCCCAGTTTCTGTCCTGCCAACCTCTACAATCTCCACACAGCAGCCAAAGTGAACCAAACATGCAAATCTAATCATATGGTTCCCCTCCTTAACCCTTTAAAGGGCACCCTGCTCTTAGAATAAAAACCAAAATCCTTATCACAGCCTCCCAGGCTCTGCATGATCTTGTGGTTCCACACGTACCTCTCTAGCCTCATCTGGAACCCCACACTCCGTAAGTTTCTCTAGCTCCAACCTCATGGGCCTTTCAGTTTCGAAAAACCTTCTGGCTTGACAGCCTTTGTGTGAGTTATCACAGTCCTGAATGTGCTTTCTCTGATTGCCTCCTGCTCACCTTAATGATCTTAGCTCACTTCCCGTTGTACTTTCTCACAGCTCCTTGCAAATTCCCTTCAGTTCCATCTTCCTCACCAGAAGGTGTAAGAAGTACCTAGCACACAGCTGGGTCTTAAAAGTATCTGAAAGAACCAATGAATGCATCTGATCCAGCTATTCCAAGGCCAGGCTGCTAGGGGTTCTCGTAGCAAGAACACGCGGCCTGTAGGGAGAACATGGTTCCTTTATTAATGCAGCTAAGTTGTGGCGGTCTTCACTCTTGGTTTACAACAAACTGACACGTCGAGAATCCTGTTCGACTTAAAGGTGACTCCATCAGAGAATTAAAAATTTTAGGCAGGGCTTGGTGTCTCACGCCTGTAATCCCAGCACTTTGAAAGACCGAGGCGAGCGGATCACGAGGTCAGGAGATCAAGACCATCCTGGCCAACATGGTGAAACCCCGTCTCTACTAAAAATACACACACACACACACACACACACTAGCCACGCGTGACGGCGCGCACCTATACTCACAGCTACTAGGGAGGCTGAAGCAGGAGTATTGCTTGAACTCTGGAGGCGGAGGCTGCAGTGAGCCAAGATCGCGCCATTGCACTCCAGTCTGGCGACAGAGCCAGACTCCGTCTCCAAAAAAAAGTAAAGCTATCGGTACATTGCCCCCCAGCACGCGAGCGGGCCACCACTCGGCTTCCTGGAGGGCGGCGGCCCAGTCCTAGTCCACCCACGCGCGGCCCGGATCTGCGCCGCTACCCCTGTGGCCCCGCCCTCCAGCCCCCCGGGCTCACGGCTTCAACTCTCGACCCAGCCCCCTACTTCTCTAGGCCTACAACCGCGCAGCCCTCGTACCCGGGGCCTAAGCGCAACCCAGATTCTAGGTCATTCGGAGCCCCAGTGCAGCGGAAGTCCGCCTCCGGGTTCACCTTGTCCTCCCGCACAGGGCCCGGCCACCGGGCACCACGCTGGATAGCCTGCGGCCCTCCCGGGGTCCTTCAGGCGCTTGTTGGGCAGCCCTGCTCGGGGTCCTCGTCCGGTTAAGCCGCGGGGTGAAGCGAGGTGTGAGGAACCCTAGCGGGCAGCGGGTTTCCTAGGCGGGTGCACTTTCCATGACGGGACTAGAGGATGAAGCCGTCCTGGGCGGTGGAACTGGCTTGTGGGAACCGCCCCTCGGAAGCCGGCATGGGCGCCCTCGGCGGGAGGGAGTGCCGGGCCGGATGCCGACGCAGTGCTACGCAGAGTGGCGGAAGCCAGAGGACCGGACGGGCCCGTTCAGGGTGGCGGGCCGGCGGGGGCGCTGCCGGCCAAGAGGGACACCGACGGGAACCTTGCCCACCTTGTTATTTTCTATGCCTAGGGTAGTTCCTGGAACATGGTTGATGCCCAGTATTTGTCAGAAGTACGCGGAGGGCAAAGAACTTCAGCGCTGGATCGCGAGGGCACAGGCAGCCCTTCAAAGTCTTTTGAGCTGGGAGCGATACATTGGCACGAAGGATCGTAGCTAATATGGGGGTTGATGAAGGAGAATCCTTGGCTGGAGCCCAGGTGTGCATAGGGCCTGAGGGAAGCAAGTCATAACGGCCTTTCACGTGTAATTAGGAATCTGGGCAGCAGGTTGGTGGTTGCGTTACTTGAGTCTATTGAAGCAGCCCAGGGTGAGGAGATTAGAACTGGGGGTGTTCCTGGTGTGTACTTGGATGTATGGAGAGGATGGGGACAGGAGAATGGATCGGGGGTCACCTGTGGCAGGTGTGAGGAGAAACTTGGTGACAGGCTTAATAAAGGTGGTAAAAAAAAAAATGTGTTTTGGTTTCATGGAGTTTTTTTGAGGGAAATCACTGAGAATGAGAGTGAAAATAAACGATAACTGTCATCAATTTAAAGACTTAATTTGCACATTTAAGTGACTTCAGTGTCTGCCTACACAAGGTATTGCCCTCTTGGAAGGTTTGTCCCCAACTCCTCATGGCTTCTCTCTCTGCAGCAATAAGTCACTTCCCATTAGTTTCCTGATACCCAGTCACCTTTGGGAACTTCTGAGGAAAGTTTTTCCAGTCTCTCCAGAGAGCCTTGCATTTCTTCTCTTTTTGTTTTGACCCCTGACCACCACCCCCTACTCTAACCTTAACTCCTCTGATACTCAGTTCCAATCCTAACCCAAGCCCTAGTCCCTAAATTTATAACCCTTTAATCCTAGACCTGGTCTCTAGATCCTGAGGCCTTGATGCTTTTCTTCTAACCTCCTAATCCCAACCTCTAATCCCTAAACCTCAACCCATGACCTCTGATTCTCAAACCCAGGCCCCCAACCCTGACTCCAAAAATGGCAACCCAGTACTTCTCCCTACCCTGAGTCACAGACAGAGGGAGTTGTAGCAACTGAAACTGCAGTAGGCCAAAGGACCCAGTGAGTTAGCCAGCAAACTACTATAAATACAAGATATGGTGGATAACAGCAAGCCTAAACAAATCTTCCTCGAAGATGAGCAACAAAAATCCCAGTCATTATGACTACGCCTCTGTATCTCAACAAAGGGGCTTAAATCACAAGTCATCCCAGCCCCTGAAGGAAGAGAACAGTCCTTGTAAGTTGCAAAGCTTTCAGACAGAGGACATGGGTGGTTCAGTAAAGCCCCTGTTCTAGGACACAGCAAAATAACACAATAACCACTATGGCCCAGCAGATGAGGGCCACAGCCAATATCGCCATCCCTGAGTCTTCCTTTGCAGAATGATCATCAGGACTCCAGAAGTCCCAGCAAACCAGTAGCAATCCAGCTGAACAGAAGACAAGAACCCTATGTGAAGCCAGATTCCAGACAACTGATATAGATGGCATTCCAAAATCTGCAGCATTCCAGCATGTAACAAACTGCAATAAGTGACACAGATCTCTCCCCAACAGTCACCTTATGAGAAGTAAGGGGAAAAAAATGCTCCAATAAAATGGAATCCCAGAATCCCTTTACCATCCCACCCTCAAACCCCTCCCCATTGCCAGGATGCTATGGCATAAGAGACAAAGGACAATTCACAGTAGTAATAAAAAAAACATTTACTAAACACTGAGAAACAGTACTGACCAGGTGCCTTATTTGATGCTACGCTTATGTGAATTCTGTATGTATACTGTACTTAGATATAATTTTTAAAAAATTGATACTGCTAAAGCCTTGCTTAGATGGAAATTTGTAGCCTAAAATACATATATTAGAAAAGAAGAAGGACTGGAAATTCAGTAAGCCTCCATCTCAACAAGTTGGAAAAAGAGGAACAGAGCCTCAGAAACCTGTGGCACATCATCAAGCATATAATATTGTTGTTGTTATTATTATTATTTTTGAGATGGAGTCTCGCTCTGTCGCCCAGGCTGGAGTACAGTGGCCGATCTCTCCTCACTGCAAGCTCCGCCTCCCGGGTTCACACCATTATCCTGCCTCAGCCTCCTGAGTAGCTGGGACTACAGGCGCCCGCCACCACGCCCGGCTAATTTTTTTGTGTGTTTTAGTAGAGACGGGTTTCACCGTGTTAGCCAGGATGGTCTCGATCTCCTGACCTCGTGATCCGTTCGTCTCCATCTCCCAAAGTGCTGGGATTAAAGGCGTGAGCCACCGCGTTATTATTTTTTTTGAGGCGGAGTCTCGCTCGGTTGCCCAGGCTGGAGTGCAATGGTGCGATCTCGGCTCACTGCAGCCTCCGCCTCCTGGGTTCAAGCGATTCTCCTGCCTCAGCTTCCCGAGTAGCTGGAATTACAGGCGCCTGCCACCACGCCCAGCTAATTTTTGTATTTTTAGTAGAGACGGAGTTTCACCGTGCTGGCCAGACTGGTCTTGAACTCCCAACCTCAGGCGATGGATTGCCCGCCTTGT